CGGTTAGGTCATCATCTCCGCTCGATGTTAATCGCGTTTCTGCCTTTCCTCCTCGCCGCCCCTGTTTGTATTTGTACAGCGACTGCAATAATCGGCGATGGAACGGTAATCGTACGCAGTTTTGAAACGAAGGGCGGTGAACCGTGGAAATGGTTCGTCCGGTGGTGGTTGGGATGTCCTTTCTGGCTCGAGCAGCACAATAATCGTGGATTTCCGTCCGCTTATTATCTTACACGCGTCACAATGCGTTTAGATTGCGTCGGGGGTATCGGCTAATTACCGGTCGCGATTTAGTCGAGCGTCCCCGCCTGCCGACGACGGCGTGAGACCGAGATGTGTATATCATGCTGAATTTCTCATATTGAAGAAAATTATTATTAAAAATTGTAAGAAAAGTAAGCAAGAACATACTAATATATGAATATGACAAACGCAAATGTTGTGCGATACTATATTCAGAATATACACTACACTGAAAAAAATGCATGTAATTTTACATGGAAATTACATGTTCGTGACTGGAAAATTGCCTAAATATGATTGGAAATTTACAATTTCCAGTAAATTTCCAAGCATATTTATGTAATTTAGATAATTTTCCAGTCATATACATGTAATTTCCATGTAAAATTACATGCATTTTTTTCAGTGTAGAAAGAACAATTTTGCTGAAGTATCTGAAAATTTAAATACTCTCTAAATTCTTTAGAGTGGAATCTTAACAAAATTATGGAATTTTAACAAAATTATTTTCAGATCTTTCTATTCTCGGAAACTTTTAGAGTGAATTTTCACTCTAAAGAGTAAAAATTGAGCTAATCTTGAAAAAGAGTGGTTCAATTTTCAATCTTTAAGAGTGACATTTTAATCTTCAGAGTGAAAATTCACTCTAAAAGTTTCCGAGAATAGAAAAATCTAAAAATAATTATGTTAAACGATCAAAATAATTATGTAAATCCGAGCATGAGCAGCAATGCTGCAAAAAGTTATAACATTCTTGAGCATTCTACACAATTATTTTGATAGTCTAACAAAATGATTTTCAGATCTCTATTCTGGCTAAATTTTTAGATGCTTCAACGAAATTTTTTCCGTATTATATTCACAACATTCGTAATGAATAATATTTTTTCACAATGTCGCTTGACATCTTCGAGTATAAATGTGATATCCAAAGTGTGTGTGTATCATGGCTTACTTTTTATTTAATATAACTTTGTTAATTGCGTTTTCCTCTCGGCGTCTAATTTACATCATTAAGACAATTTAAGATTGGAGAATTGTAAAAAAGTGAGATGAGATCTCCTTCGACATTTTTACATATGGACCGCTTGTTACGAATATAACCGAATCATTACTGGATACTTTATCATTTGACTGAATTTTCCGATATTTTGTGTAGGATTGTTTGTTGTTTTGCATTGAAAATGACCCGATCGGTGTCGAAACGTTTGTATGTATGTAAGAAAGTTTATTAAATATTCTTTATGTTATAACTGGGTTCGTAGCCCTTTCTTTTAACTATTAATATTTTTTAATCCTTATTTCAGGTCTTTCAAATGTAATTTGATTAATTATATTATTTAGTTAATATATTATAATAATATATTATCTAATAAATTATTTAATAATGCTGCATATTCTTCGAAAAAATCAATCAACCTTTTTAATTGTAACAAAATATTGAAATAATATATTACATACATAAAAAGATTATAATTACATTACACGATAAAAAAAAGTACAGGACAGAAGTAAAGTTTTAGATGAATTATCAAAAATTCCATTCACTATCGGATAAAATTAATTCCTTTAGACGAACTCACAGTTTCGAGAGGAAGTGTAATACTTTCGCATGATTTTACGGGACTCAGAAATGTCAATGCCTTTCGTAAATAAAAAAGTTTCATTAAGTATTTGCTTCGCGATTGTTGCAACGTCCAATCGTTTCTCTCTATCCTCTCTTTAAGTTTCAAACACTATCGATATTTGACGGCGAATCGTGGTTATACACGTCAAAACACGGTATCCAGGAGTCGATAACGGTATCAAAAAACCGGTTTCCGATTGAAGTAAATAGGTGCTCGTTGTGCAAAATTCGTAGACCGGCTTTTCGTCTCGGCAGGGAGACTGAAACGTCGCGCGTGCCTTTTCTCTTTTGATAACATCGCGAGCAGAAAACTTTCCATACTTGATTGATCGATTTCGATCTCAGTAATCAATTTATAATTCGCGTAAAATCATTTATGTATAAAAAAAAATGAGAAGAGCTGCATACAGGAGGCATAGTACATCTCGGTTTCTTCTGAGATATTTTACAAGAACTAATATCGCGAGAACAAATTCGATACCAAGGCGCTTTCGCAAATTGCATCAAGACGATAAGAACATATACAGCGTCTTTCCAAATTGTCTTTCCAAATGGATATCTTTTTCGTTTATTATTCAATAGATATAAATGATTAAGAAGTGGAAAAGCGCAATAAAGAAAGACGTTCCTCGACATTTTCATTGAAAAAAATTGCCTTCAAACTAAAAAAGAAACTGCAATAAGAACAACCGTGTATACGTGCTTCTAGAACACCCTGTATATACGGCCAACAGATTCATTAACGAAATAGCGGTCTTTACGAAAATCCTGAAGCCTTAACGACAAGCGAAACGGCCTTCGTAATGTGAAAAGTACACGCTCTCGTTCGTGGCGTGAGAGATCGCACGGACGTAGGCACGCACGCACGCACTCACTCATACGTGTGCCACATAGATAACTTCCTTCGTAAGGTAGAAGAGAGGCGTACGACGCGTGTGCCAGACGGACGGCGCGGTATCAAAGGATATTTACCCTGTCAACAGCGTGGCTTTACGTGGCGGAGACGCCGCTACGTCTATAAGGGGAGAACATATAGTACTCACTCGTACCGAGATAATAGTAATGGGTATTATTACTCCGCTCTATTATTTTACGATGTAGCGCTTCCCGGGAATTGATACATTATCGTGGAGTGTTGCGCGCCGAGTCGAGTCGCGCCGGGCCGAAACGAGTCGTGCGATTGACGAGTGATTAACAACGTAAATAATCATCATTTTTCCGAGATCCACTATCTACCACTCGAATCGATATATCGCCGATGTAAATCACAACGACGCGCTAATGGGAAATCGATAACGGGCTAGGAATAAAAATGAATCGCATTAATCATGGTACTTGAGTTAAATTTCAAATGTAATGAGCAGAGTTAAGTATCGATTCCGAACGGATTAGTCCTACCGAGTTTTCTTTTTTTTTTTCAAGGCGTACCCGATAATCAATATATCCGGAGAAAAATTAACAGCTGTAACATTATTACGCCTAGTTGAAAACCTATAATCTCAGTTTTGCGATTAAAAACTGCCTTAGTCAGCTAAGTGACACGTGTACGATCGCGTAGATATTTAGATCAATTGTAAAAAGAAAAAGCGAGAATTGAACGGCTCTCTCAAGTCGCTTACTAAGCAAGGTTCGATAGGTATTACTGCTTAATTAAACCAACATTTGCGTCATGGATGTTGCATACCAAATTAAGTTACGCTTAATTAACTGAAGATTCGATTTGTCTTGTGCCAGGAATACAAAAGTCGTGACAAATAGACTCTATTGTAATTTTCTCGACTAAATTACTAATCGCTACTAATGGATTCATTCGATTTCTTTTGATCGAGACTCAGATCTTTCTTCCTATGCATTATTTAATTCTAAAAGCAACGAGGGGGAAAACTCACTCTTATTTAAAAAACAATAATACAATATACGGACAATGACAGCGTTAACACGGCGCGGTAATTGGTGCGCAATTTATACAATAGTCTAATAATATTCACATAATATATATATTAAAATTGTACAATGACTGTCGATACCAACTTATTTGGACGTTTCGGTTTTTTTCAAACCATCTTCGGCAAATCATTATCGTAGATTTATTGACAATAGTTGGAAGATGTTGAAATTATGTTCCATGTGAGACCGAGGATGAGTGTCTCCCTATTGTCTGGTTGGGAATTACCCAATTTTTGTCTCTTTGCTGCTTAGCCAAATGATTAACCTCCTTCTCCATAGATCACAAATCACTCTTATTTGTTTACTTATGTGTCAACAGCTTTGAGTTATTCGTTTTTTAATCAATTCCGTGCACGATGTGATTTCAAAACTTCTAAATTTATTTCATATTAATTATACAATATACACACGCATTATCGAATTAATAAAAATATTATATTAATATGTGTGTTTTCGTTCACGCAATATGGCAATTTTGCATATCAGTATCAAAGAGATGAACATATATCTTTCAGACGTTTATTTTTACCAACATACTGAAATTAATATCAATCTTAATGTAATTTAGTCTTTATCTTTTTCTTAGAACTAGAAGAAGATAAAAGATAAGTTAAATCAAGATTAAAGCTAACCTACGTTGACAGAGATGGGCAAAAGAGTTTACTCGTACGATCGCAAAGTACAACTTAACGTATAAGAGAAGAGTAAATTGTAACACGGGATCTACAATAGAAGTCGTAGCGATAGAAAATTAAGTCGTAGAAAATTAACCAATCGCTCTAAATTTCTTGCAGTGAAATCTCATTTAAGAAAGTGAAAATACAACCATTCACTTATGGAAACAAGTGACAATTTTCACTCTTTTTAGAGTGATTTTCACTTTAAAGAAGTGAAATCTTATTTTTTTGAAGTGAGATTTCATTCTTTTGAAGTGAAAATGCACTCTAAAAAGAGTGAAAATTGTCGCTCTTTTTCAAGAAGTGAAATATTTTCACTTGTTTTCACTCTCTTAGAGTAAGATTTCACTGCAAGAAATTTAGAATGATCACAGTCGAATATGAGAAGAATAATCGATTATGATTGGTAAATTTTCTTACGACTTAAGATCCTACGACCTTCTATTGTAGACCCCGTATAAGAGTTTCGACAAGATTTCGAATTCCAAGATTATTCGACTACTTACCTGCATCTGAAGCCACGAGTAGTCGATGTAGGCGGTGGTGGTGGCGGTGACAGCTCCGGTGATCCCGGTGGACACCGTCGACGAGATCTGCTGCCAGCTGTCCTGTGCGTTGCATCCGAGTACCGTCGCGAGGGGTCCGTCGGGCTGGGCCCGATCGGGCACTATCTGATCGGCGGCGTACTGACCGGCGTAGGACGGCTGGATCGTCGGCGGCTGGACGCCGACGGCGGACGGTAAACCGGGCAGAGACGCCGGATGAGGGTGCTGCGTAACCCCCGTGGTGGCCGCGGCACCGGCGGGCAGACAGCACACGCTCGCGTCCATCCGTGGCGGCGGAGAGTCGTAAAAGCGTAGCTGCTCCGGCTCCGGCTCCGGCTCCCGTGTCGTCGTCCTGCCGAGGGTTAATCCTCGCGGCACCATCCAACCCACGACCGTTGCCGCTCGCGCCGTGATATTCACCGGCCGACGGCTGAGAGGATCGATTCGCGGATCCTCGGATCCCTTCTCCGACTATTTAGATCCTTCGTCGTTCTCTTCAGGTCGATCGAGGTAGAAGACGACAGCGCGGTACTATAACCATCTTTCGCGGAGGCGCACCTGGTGCAGCGAAGAATCTGCGGACGTTCTCGAAGGTTGTTCTCCGAGGATTAATTTTCCAAGTACCATCCAATCTGTGGTTCGTTCCTTCCCACTGGCTCTCGGAGCAATGTCGACGGACCAATTCTCTCGATCAGATTCTTCCTTTTAGATTCTGGATCCGCCCTTTCTTCGGATGGACCGTGATAAAAAACGGAACATCACTGTCTCGCGCACGGCTGGCTTTCACGCAATGTCACTTCGATTCGCGATATCCGATGATACTTGGCGATCACGACAGTCACGTACATCGGAACCGCGTTGACGTCCCGCGCGTCGAATCCAAGGAATTCCGTGCGCGAAACACTATCCCGCACCAGGCTGCCGAGTGCTCGTCGAATGTCGTTGCGAGCATCGCGTCCTGCAAAAAATAGACGCGTTCACTATTAGTCCAAGTTATTTTTCCTCGATAGAAAGAGTACTCCGATCGGCGACGTCGTCGTTGCCGTCGTCGCCGACGCCGCCAACGCGCCGCTTTCGGGAGGCACTAATGCGAGCAGAGAGAAGCATTCGACTCCGATTTCGAAATTAAACCACGAGTCACCGACGATACTCTCCGGGTTCTCGCGGGAACGCGTTTCCCAAACGGAGACATCGGATAAGTTCGAAACTAGTTTGATCCGTTCGGATACTCGCTCCGTTCACTGTGCGACGTTCACGTGGAAGATCGATAATCGAATTCTTCCGTCAGGAAAATGTTCCTTCTGCAAGAAATCGGCATCGTCGATCGATGGGGCGCTCCTTTACCCGATATTTTTTTTTGTTTTTCCTGCGAACGGTCACCCGTCGACAAAACACTTTCGTCAGCTTAGCCGGCACTCGCGACAAATCTCGAACGTACGGTTTCCAGCGTAATTAAATTTTCGCGAGATACGAGGCGAGAGGAGGCGGCTCCAGCAGGATTCGGGAAGGATAAAACGCGCGCGCGTTCGCGAACGATCGAAGTACGTCGATCGTGGTCGACCGCCACAAGATCCGTGAAATGATGTTTCTCGACGGTGACAGCGCGCACTCCCGTTAACGCGTTGACGCGCGCGCGTGCTCGCCACGAAGGACCACGAGGATGAGGGCGGAGAGAGAGAAAGGGTGGGAGAGAGCGAGAGAGAGAGAGAAAGAGAGAGAGGACTTATGAGAAGGCGAGGGTGGTGGTGGTGGTATCGGTGGTGGTGGTGGTGGTGGTGGTGGTGGCGATGGTGGTGGTGGAAAGGATGATGATACGGTGGCGAGGGTGACGGATGAAACTGGCGCGCACAACTCTTGAACTGCGCTCGCGTACCGTCCGCGCTGCGCACGCGCATGCGTGGATGCGTGTCGTCAAGGCAACGGTTCCAGAGTAACTGCTTATAGCGAACGCAGCCCTCCGCGGCGAGTGTGTCGCTTCTCTCTGTCTCTCTCCCCCGTTCATTCCCGATCTCGCGCGCCTGGCTCACGCCCCGGGCGCGACCGATTCGAGCGGTCTAGGCGGCCATCGAGCGCACGCCCCCGTCCTGACACCGCGAGAGCGCGTCTCACTCCCTCTCTCTCTCTCTCTCTCTCTCTCGGAGACTCCGTCTCTCTTCTTTAAGCACGCCGCGCCGCGCCGGTCGCTTGTCTTATCCCCCCCCCTCTCTCGCTCTCTCTCTCTCTCTTTCTCCGCTCGCGTCGAGAATTCATCCGCGTATATACACACACTTTCCCCCTCCCGCATAATGTCCTACCCTCCTCACTCACCTTCGGTCTCCTACGATTTCTGCCGTCTCGATCGAGCGAGCGTTCCGCAGATCATCGCGTCCTTCTTCCGCACGAACACAACGCGAGGCGAACGCCGCCCGCGCGTCTCGACGGCGCGCGATTATCGACGTGAGCTATCGAGGGTCTCCTACCTCCGCCGACTTTGGCACACTTCTCTCAACGTTCCCCTGTCCTCCTGATTTCTCCCCGCTCTGCCGCTTTCGCGGCCCTGCCGTCTCGCGATTACTTTCTTCCATCGCGTCGAGCGAATCATCCCTCAAACACACCACCGTTTAAAGCCCGCCGTAACGGGGTCGACGAGGTCGCGACGAATTTTGAATTCGTAGGAGAACGAATCGCGACACGCGCGTCACGTCACGTGACTGACGTCACGCGCGCGACTCACCCTGCCGGCGCGAAATAACGACCGGTTTGAAAATGGCGTAATAATTAATTTTAAAACAATACCACATGATGTAACTAACCGTCGCAAACGCCTTGACACGTAAAGCTGCACCAGTTTCAAGCGTACTCGAGGCGTCACACCCTGTGTGCCTATAGATCTCACAAATGTTGGTTAAAACATTCAAGATTGTATCCTTATTTTTATTTATTTGACATCGCGTAGCTGTGTTTATCTTAATTTCATGCATTTCTTGCAAAATAACTGCGATGCTAAACCATTAGGCAGAGTTCTGCAGGATCACGATTGGTGCATAATTTTGTGTTTTGAGCTATTTATTATGCCATTATAAAGTAATACATATAACAAGTTCGATCACGCACCTAACTTTCTCCCGCAATGAAATTGGAAGGCTGTACTGGAAATTTTTGTGTGGACAAATTTATCGTATATGCTGTTTTCAACGTTTGAAACGAAAGGATTCGCAAGCAATTAAGAACGCGAGAAAGAGTTAATCCAGTTAAAAGATACCGATAAGCATTTTGATATTTTCATTACGATACGCGTTTTAATCCTCGCGTTTTTCTTTTTTTTTCGTATGTTTTCTTACGTGTGCTCGTTTCAGTTTAACTTTGATCTCGGTTTAATTTAATTTTTATCCTTTTTTAATTCTACACTGAAAATAGTTAATTGAATCTGAAATTAAACGAACATATTTTAACAAATGTTAAAATAAACAAACAAATTTTGTGCATATATTCTGATTATGGTAATAGGATACATTTGGTTGCATGAATTCTAATGAAAATACTTTTGATTGAAAAATAGCAGATTATTTAATTATGATAACCAGAAAATCTGTTTAGTCCTATCAATATTTCTTTAACCGGTTTACATGTCACGTTAATCCAATCATGCTCTTTTTCTCTTGTAAACATAATAACCTGCTTATAGATATTATTACTGCATATGCACTAATGAAACTCTAACCGGTATCATATCTACATGTTTTGGTTGTACGTGCTCCAAAACATTTGATTATAATAATTAAAAATTCTGTTTACTTACATCAAAGTTTACTAAACATATTTCGTTAATTTCACCACGATTTTTTTTCATATAAGAATTAAAGAAGAAGATAATGTAAATTAAATCTAGAAATTTTTAAAGTAAATCAACATTGATAGAAATAACCATTAATTAGAACGTTACGTTACAAACGCACGTTAATCTTTTTAGCTTTACCACAGATGTAACAATGAGCTTCATCGACAACTATTGTGACAACGATAATGATGAACACATGGACGTAGCCAAGGGGGGAGGGGGCAGAAGATCAACAATAAAATAAACAAAACAAGTGTAATAATAATCTATATCATTCGATATAGATTAGATTATATATCCTCCCCCATCCCCTGGAGTTCAAAAGTCTCAACTCTAATTCAGCCCCTCCCTTAAACAAAGTCCTGGTTACACCTAAGGGTGAGCATATCGATTATTAAATCTGAAAATGAGTCTTGTGATAAATCTGTGCCTACGATGACGGCGGGGGATGTCGAGAGATCGAATTAACGAAGTTACCGAGCGTTAATCGTATTCCACAAATCGCCGCGACTCGATTAGCCCAGAATGCGACGCGCTTCTCGCGATATATCCGCGCGCGTCCATAACGCGATCGCATAATACACGGGAGAAGCGGACGCTCTCTCTCTCTCTCTCTCTCTCTCTCTCTCCCTCTCCCCATCCCCCGCCCGGCCGCCAGCGCGCCTCTCCTCTCCTCTCCTCGCCTCTCCCTCTTCCTCGCGACCGCGACGAGGCAGAAAGGTCCCCTTTCTCTTTAGATTGTGAAACGATTTTCTATCGCGGTGCTTTAGCTCCGCGCGGCGCGGATTTATTATATATGCAATGGGTTACGCAAATTACGACAAAGTGCAAATATTTCACATGACCTGCACCTGCGTGACTCCCCTTTCTACACGTGATCGTTTAACCAGGCACGTGAATCGTGACGCGCGCGACGTTGTGTATAGACACGTATATATACGTGCAACGCTCGAAATTCCGACGAGTTTCCTGGGATCCAGAAGTAATCCCTCCGAAATATACGCAATACGGCGCGAATTACATTCCTTACGCCCGCCGACCGAGGGAGACGTTTTCTGGGAACCGGATTACTTTGAGAGAGATAATGAGCGCGAGTAACTTACCGAGTTTCGGAAATCCTTTTCTCCTCTGCCGTCTCTCGTGGAAGACAGCTGTGCGATATCATCAAACCACGACGTGATCGCAAAAGCTCGCAAATTTGCTTTCCAAGTTTGAGATTAACTTGTAAAGACGATAAAGAAACCATACGACTCGCGATATACGCTTGTGACTAACAATGAACGCTTAATATCTCCGTTTTTCCTTAGTTTACTATAATTACTTCACGGTACGTCGTTGGCAAAGTAATGGAATAATTATGAGGCAGATAGTCATGTACACGTGAATATAGAGTTTGCGGGAGAAAATTAAATTACCGCAATTTAGAGAAATTAATGCGAAAGGCTATTTACTTATAGACGGAGAGAATGACAAGTTTGCGTGATAAAACGCAATGACAGCGATACGTGTCATCGAGTTCAGGATTAAAAATGACCCGGCCGAAGCCCAGGTAAAACAGAATCATAATTAAGTCATAATGATATCATAGGATGTCATCATGATGTCACTTGATACTTGAAAATGAACTTATAAGTGACAAATAAGGTCATAATGATCCCAAGCGGAACAAGTCACGACAATATCAAAATGATATTAAAATGAATCGGAAATGACTTTTAATGATCATTTTGGAGTCATTTTGACATCATTTTAATATCAAGCAATTACTTGTTCCGCTTGAGATTATTGATATTGTCTCTATGATATTATGACTTCCCATACAGCACAGAATTTGCAGCAATATCGCTGCAAAATCTCCGCAATATTGCTGCAACTTTTGTGCAATTTTATGCCGTAGGGGTTGTGTTCTATTTGAGGGGAACCTCGCGGGAGAGACACTCGGAACAATACGGGACGGCAAGCGCGCGCAAGCGAATGACGAGCACGGCTGACCGGTGAGAATTTAGCCGCGAGACGCAGAGATACCGCTCGCGCGCCGCTCCCCCCACCCACGTCCCCCGCGGAAGCGACGCGACTTATGAATGGGAGTAGTACTCGCCCATTGGTCGCGCCCGATAGCCAATGGCGGTCGACTCGCATTCGCAACCGCGGCGCGCGCGGGCAAGTAAAGCGAAACGATCGTGTAATAAGTGTATGTGCATACTCTTACGTATGTAGGTATGTACGTCGAGAATACTGCGAGCGACGACGAGAAGATCGAGAAGAGATACCGAAGTAAATCAACCGGATCCTATTAATACCGTGCCGTGCTACTGACTTTTCTGGAAAAATTATTAATCGTGCGAAATCGCTTTAAATCGTAATTCAAACTCCGAGACCTTTAAACGGCTGAGAAACGCGGAGCGCTTATATTATGGCTTATATTATTGCCTCGCTGTTTATCTATATTTTATCTTATAATTACGTAAATAAATAATTACTATCGTCGCGTTTTTTTTTTATCGTAAGACCCTCGCCAAAGCGAGGATTTCACACGAGTCGCTTATCGTGCAGGAATCGAATAGATAACGTCGAGAACAAAATGTTGGTTGCGCATGAAAAGGCGCGAAAGGCGTTACGACTCTCGACTCGACCCGAAGGCAAGAACGGCAATTCCAATTTCTCCGGGACGGCGATTAAGTCCCTCGATGACAAGAGGGTGGCGGAGATAATCGCACTCGCGACTCGCGAGCAATGCGCGAGGAAAATGTAACGACTCGCTAGCGAAGTCGATGCAAATCGTCGACGCGCGATAGGAGGAGACGGCGCAACGCGCGAGTCGTACGACAAATACCGAACGGCAATTATCGGCTAACTTATGGAAAGTATAGGGAAGGAGCGCGCGCGGCGACGGTTCTTATGACAGGGAAGTGAGCGAGGTTTCTATCCTGGGTACGTCAAGGTGACAACACGGCGGGGATGACACCATAGTCGGGATGACGGGGACGAGAGCGGGCTGTATCACCTTAGCGTTACATTACATCGCGCTGCTTTGCGAGCAGCCGCGTGCGAGCGAGAGAGCGAGAGCTGCATTTACGCGCATTTATGGCCTGGCGTCATCTATCAATTAGCCGCCTCATAGCCGTTTGTGTCTCACCGCTATCTCGCGAGATTGTGACTCAATTATGAGTGGTAGTACACGAGTTACATCTAGCATTTCCATCTAAGCTCGTGAATCATTCAACACGTCGCTTAGACAGTATAAGAATACGGTATTTTTATCGCGCAGAATTCGATTGTATCGATATGATTACTGCAAACGTGATTTATATATCGTTTATTTTATTCATATATTTAGCAAAATTCAACTTTCTTATTACATTTGCAGTGCGATCTATATATACATGTATAATATGTATAATACGCGGAGATCAACAAACTATGCTCCAACGAAATTAAATTTCAACCCCACACGTCACCGTATTTAGTTTTCTCTTGCATTGGTGACCAGCTGCTAGTTGTGGGAACCTGTTCGCTCGTCTCTTTCGTTACTGGAGGTTCTTTTGTTCTGGGAACATACCACTGCTTATTTTTCTTATAAAACTCATCTCTATTTTGATGCCTTAGCTCTTCATAACTGACGTCTTTTTGCCTATTTATCGGTTCGGACAAATCCGTGTCCTCGGAGATGTTGAAATCGCCTTTAAACATAATTTATACAGTTATCATCACGTAGTAATAGGTGTGTAGATTTAAAAATAATTTTCAACAACTAACTGTTGTCTGGATTGATACTGGAATACGTATCGTATGAATTCATTGGTGGGTAATCATCAAACACTATTTCTGTAGATGGTTCTGTTGGGTTTTGGACTTTTGATTGAGGGCCTTGATAATGGAGTGTCTCTCTATAAACAAAGCATAAAACCTAGCTTTAATGAAAAACGTAAACAAACAGCAGGTAATTGCGTTATCCAAAAGTAATACCTATGAGCAATATTTCCAAAATAATCCAATTCCTTCATTCTGTCTCGAAGAGTACTGTTTGGCATGGAAGCGACTTTTGTTAGACACAATTTAGCAGCGCCTATTCTACTTGTCACCAAACCTACTACGCCAGTGGCTAGTGCGACGTATTTAGCATTTGCGCGAAATGGAGTCATCCTACATATTCCATATCCTATGGTTGCAAAGATGATTGTCGGCGCGAGAGTACTCGAGTTCTTCATGCATTGACGTAAGGCGACTATCTCCTCTGGAGTCAACTCCAGTCTGTCCTGTGATTACGATTAGATTTGAGATAATTGTTATTACATATATTTATAAATAAATAAAATATACGTAAAATAATAAAAAAAATTATCGCTTTGTCCTTTAATCTTAATCAACAAATATATGCAATATATATCTATATTTTTCTATATTACTCTAATAAATCTTACACATTAAGTACTAGGATTCTAACCTGTCTTCGATACTTGGGATAATCGGGTTGCTGTACATCCGTTATTACGGCACTCGTCATGTTTCGCGAGTATTCCGGTAGAAATTCACTAGCACATTAAATTCGAAAAATCTGTATCTCCCAATCTATTATGCAGTAAGCACAAATGCTTCGATCGTAAACACAATACAATTATAAATATATTTGATAATTTGTGACAACCATGTATCGAGCAAAACTGAGACGTTGGTGCCATCTATGATCTATGCAGCTTACTAACTGCACGTGATTTAACGTTCGAACAGATTCCTTCTTAAACTGTTCTCAATAAAAATATGTCTCGCTAAAACGACAAATACTTTCAATTTTTTAAAATTATATATTAAATATACATTTTATGATTTTTATAATCAAATTAAAAAATTATGCGTAATAAGATATATGGCTGAGTTGTCTTTAAACAAAGAAACCACTTTTTAAATATCCCGAACTGAAATTTTCTTTCTACTACTCTTTCTTTCATTGTTATGTACACATTTTAATGATTTTTGTAATAAAGTTAAAAAATTATCTGTTCTCAGAATTTTTCATATAATTTTTCAGAATTTCTATATAATTTTATAACTTTCTCACATTTTTTATACGAATTGGAACACTTCTCAGAAAATCTACATCTTTTCTCAGAAAATCTATCTTTTCTCAGAATTTTCCAAATATGTTAATTATGAAATATCGTAAGATTTCTAAGATTTTTTGTAAGTATAATTTCTGATGAAAAGTTATAAAATTTAAAAAATTAAAAAATATTTTTTAAATATTATGGGATGAGAAATCTCAGAATATTTCAGAATTCACATGTATGAAAAATTTTGAGAGATGTAAACTTTCCGAATATTTCTGAGTACTTTTGAAAAATGTTCCAATTCGTATAAAAATTATAAGAAAAATTTTGACCAGGATATATAATATATTAAGATTTATGATTGAATTATGTCTTTAAATAGAGAAGTTATTATTCTAAACTGAAATCTTCTTTCTACTCTTCCTTTCATCCGATATTTTTTTTCAACTTATACCCGGGAAAAAATGTTTCAATATAATTATATATAATTATATAATTACATTGACATTTTATATAAATTATATTTATATATGTATATATATAATTATATATAAAATGTATTCATATAACAATTTTTCCCGGGTAATAATTCTTTTTAAGTACGTGCATACACATTTGTTGAGTATTGCTGACGTACATTGATGTTTAAAATAGTATTTGAGATACCGGATATTATTTTTGTAGAATGCATATAGGCAATGCATCGGTATCCGTATATCCAAATGACGCGATTTGTTTGCGTAACCACGCTAATTCAATTATCACGTTTAAGACGGCAAGACAAAATTGGACGGAGTCTCATTGTTTAAAAAAATTTAACTTCTTTCAATGTACTTTTATGCTTCATCCAAGTATTGAAAAGTATGTAAGAAATTATACACGTCTATTAAAATTTATATCAATTAATATTAGAAATCAAGGGGAGTATTATATCAATATATAATAATATAATTTCTAGAAAAAAATGTTTTATATATAATTATATATAATTACATAAAATTATATATAATTATAAATTGACATTTTGTGCAATTATATATAATTATATATAAAATATATCCATATACAGGGTGTATCTGAAATAACGTACACTAATCATATAGTGCTATTCCTAATAAAAAAACTGAGTCGAAAAGTCCTCTACCATTTTGCAATTTTCGCAATAGTTAATAAGATATTAATTACAAAAAATTGCTTTACAGAAAAACAACTGCAACAGACAAAAATCATTTATTTTCTTCTCATAAAACTCTAAGAATCTTTTCAGAATTTTTTATCAACTTTTTAGTATTGCATTTTCTTATTTTTACCAACATGAGAAAATACAGTATTAAAAAATTCTGAAAAATTTCTGAAAAAATTTTCATAACTTTATGAGAAGAAAATAAACAATTTTTATCTCTAACAATTTTTCTGTAAAATTGATAGTATTTGAGTAAAAAGTTATTGAAAACCAATATTCAGCAATTTTTTGTTAATAATTAATATCTTGTTAACTATTGCGAAAGTTGCAAAATGCTAAAGGACTTTTTGACTCAGTTTTTTATTAGGAATAGCAATGTATGATTAGTATACGTTATTTTAGATACACCCTGTATATAACATTTTTTCCCGGGTTGCGCGTTAAGAATAATATTTAGCTCGTCTATAATGTCACCGGGAAAAATATACATTTTATATAAATACATTTAGGATTTTCTCGGAAACCTTGAACAAGTTATCAGTGTGACATTTTCATTAAGCTTGTCGCGGGAAAATTACAGGGCCGCTTTGAGAAGCGCGGCGTACAATTGCATACAATTTACACGCGTAATTTTCTATTTTCTGTTATGTTCCTGGCAGTTAATTACATATCTGCTAGTATAATTTTTTTTGCGAAAGATTAGATCGAAATTTTCATATCAGTCGTTTTTTACGCAAATAAAATATATTCGTCGAAATTTAACAACAGCTGCATCGCTCTATGTGCAATCAGGAAATTTTCCGCCTGCCACTTATGAACCGACCGAGAATACGTAATACAAAAGTACCTACGTATAAGTCACGGTAGTGTTAATGAGAGACAAATGTCCAGCGCTATAAAAGTCGCGGTCGAATTCGTTCGCAGCTTTGTACAGCTTTAAAATGTCGCGCATCGCTTCGCATCAGCCCCTCTGGCCATCTTACATCGTGCTCTTATTATTTATATTAATATTAACATCGATGACGTTGCAACGAGGGGGTGCCAGTCCTCTTCCGGATTTTATGAATAATTATGAGAACACGACCGAGAATTCAACGGAAAATTCGGTGGATAGCTCGACGGACAATTCGACGATCACGTCCAACACCGACGTGTAAATTTCTTTTAATATTTCTTTAATGTATAATACGCATGTATAATAATTTTACGTTGTTGTAAACGTTTCTTGCCGTCTTCAGATACGTGATAAAAGCTGTAGTTTACGAGATTGGAATTCTCGCGGACACGGATAACACAACGAGCAGCGAAAGCACCGAAAGGTAAAACACATTTTATTTTATTCTTTGCCTCCCCACATTTCACTTTTCACTTATCCGAAGGACGTCCAGGGTTGCATTCCAAAACTTTACTCTGAGAAAAACAGTTGACTCATGGATTAGTATTCATAGGCGGTTCTTATTTAAGATCTGTCTTAAGATGCTAATACGGCTGTCTTTTTCTTCTTCTTGTTTAAAACATCTTAAGACATTTAAGATAGTCTTGAAATAAGAACCAATTATTATGAATTAATTCTTTTACTCAGAGTAAAGTTTTGAAACGGTCGTGAAAAATATATAAGTCAAATTTTGATTTTAAAAAGTTAATAAAAAGTAGTCCTGGGAACGTCTTTAGAACATCTTTAGAACCCTCGTCCTTGGGAGGGGTCTGTATGTTCCCATTAAAAAAGAAAGTCACGTTTACTTTCGAACAATAATTTCAACGTCATCGTCTTTTTTGTGTTTTGCAGACAAGAGAAAATCGACATATCGTTGTACAGTTCACCGCAGGAAGATGAATTCTCTTAATTTCAACAATTTTTTTTCTATCGGAGCGAGTACGGCAGAGTCCTACATCTAAACACGTTTATGGATCGAGAGCAAAAAGTAAAATGTGAAACGTAAAGACTGCGCATACACGACGATGTTATCGGGGTAGAAGTGTATAGTAAATTATTATATGTCGTATAAGATATAGAATGTAAAAATAAGTGCGATGTACGCAATTTATAAATTTCGATATTAAACTTGTAATGCTGTAACACATGTGTTTTCTTAGGATTTAGAACAATGTTTTATTAGCTTTTTTCATTTAATTATGAACAATATCTCGTGTACAACGCTATAAACACATTGCTGCTGCAAAATCTGCGAGGCAGAAGAAAGTCGTGGAACAATCAGGTAACATAATTCGTAGAATGATCTTTCGAAGAATGATGGATATACATAAGGTAGCTCAATCGAAGCATGCGCGACGCTTTGACATTAGTTTCTGCAATTTAACTATTTACTTCTGGAAGATCTTGATGAAAGACTTTTAACGTTGCTTAAAGATACGTATAAATCTTTCCTTTTTTTTTTTTTGTTATTTCGGAATGCAAATAAGCGCGCAAGTTCGTCAAGAGCTCTCGATTAATACGATATCATGTACAAATTTCGACTGATTATTACGACAAAAAGGTAATAAAAATACTCTCGATTTTTCTCTCTCCTCCCTTTTTTCTGCTCGTATCGTATCGTTGAACTAACGTACACTCAGTTAAACAGTAGGCACTGCACCTAAGTACCTTTGCCTTATCGAAGGAATAAGCAAAAGCACCAGTTTGTGAAATACCGGTCTTATATAATATTAAACAGCGTTACGATAACTCTTCTCTTATGTTTCTCATCCGCTTTTTTAATATATAAACATATAGTAAATGTTCTGTGTATGTGTGTGTTCGTCTATGTGTAAAAAATCAAATGTCACGAGTGGAGCAAGCGGATGCGAAATTTATCCATCATCTCTTTCTTTACAAATTGTCTATATGAATCGCACGAAAATATTGCGATTTATTCTCTCCATTCTTCGTTCCCTTTGTTAGAAATCAGTTATCAGTTACGTATAAATAACAATTTACGAAACTCTTAACAATAATTGTAAAATATATGGGACAGAGGGAGGACTTGATTTTCGCAGGGATACTTATAGATGTTGGCCATTCAAAGGGTAAGGTAAAAAGGGGGTAGGATATACCTATATATAATAAACATCAAATTATTCGCTAAGTGTAGTTGAGCGTCAATCATTTTTCGGCATTCTGGATTTATTTTAAGAGATACCCTGCAGCGGGACCATAATGTACCCATCAACGTTTTCTTAAAGCATAATTAACGTGGTGTCTAATGAAAAATAGAGAAGGCGCAATATGCATCCGATCAATCGTTTACGACTCGATACTGATATGATTCTCTCTCCCCTCCCCCCTCCCCCCTCCTATTGCCATAGATCGTTTAACATAGGCAGGGGGGAACGTTTCATTTAGCGTCTTTAGGCACCGGTATGGCGTCAATAGTGCTAGTGGATGTACTTTCCAACGAAGCGGCTGGGACTTGTGGTTCAATTGACGGCTTTTCATTCTCTACGTTCTTCGTGTCCTTTACGGTTTCGATCTTCTCCGTGTCCTTAAACTCTCTAGTAGAAACAAATTTTTCAAGTAATTCATTTTAGATTGGATAGATTATATACACTAACTATTATTATGCTACATACATACCTACTGACCGATAACTCGCTAGGATTGACGTTCTCATTCGCGGAAATCATTTTGTGTTCGTCACTTTTACTATCATTGAGATTCATTTCCACAGTTGGTAACTTCATCTCGACTACTTGACTATCTGCATAGTCTGTGCTCTTTTCGTTACCATCTCCAACACTTTCACTACAGGCTAAATTCTTTCCCGTTAGGTTTACAGCTGTATCTTCTGATATTTGCTCTTTAAGTTCATCGCACGGCTTTTTCTCTTCGCTCGCGGTGTTCTCTATACTCAAAGTATTTTCGAAATTTTCGAAATTGGCCCAGCCAGTAGATTCTATTGGTTCCGACGGTGCCACATCCCATGGATTGACTGGTGGAAGTATAGTGTTCGGTGGTTCGGTATTGTTCCAAGCTAAAATTACACAAGTCATTTTAATAAAATTTCGAGCTTTTTTTTTAATCAAGTAATGTAAGAATTTTTGATAGAAACATACGATCTGTCGTTTCCACTTCCATATTCATGTTGCGTGGTTCCTCCTCCGACGAACTAGAATCCTCCGACGAATTAGAATCATCCGATGAACTAGAATCCTGATGCTGTTGCTTTGAATGCCAATCTCGTTTGTCCACCACGGTCTGGAACGTCAGCTCGCCTTCATCTCCCCATTCTAAGCCACTGCCGCAATCCTCAAGCCCGGCTTTTTGTTTTTGTTGGCACAGCTTTAACAAAGTTATCAATTTTTTCAATTTCAAATATAAGACAATACGTATTCGGGTAACAGTTGAATAGATATCTACCTTATTGAACATATCTTCCCGCTTGTCGAGATCTTCTTCACTGAGATTAAAGGCCAACGTTGTTAATTGGTCAACTGGATTACTATAATATCATACCTCTTAACGAAAACAGTGAGGAGAGAAATAACTATGACAATATTAAGGTTGAGTTCTTCTCACACGTGTTCTCTTTCTTGGCTCTTGTAAGTTTTATGATCACAAACCTAATAGTGCTATATTTTTTAATGAAATCTCATGTATACTTACTGAAGTGCGTCATCACCATCGTTAAACTCATCGTCGTGGAATCCGAAATTCTCGATGAACGGAGGTGTTATTTGTTGACCCTGATAATTGGAGTACATCTAATACCAAGAATCCGCACGATAAATAAAGAACTAGATAATCTCGATTTATGTATCAATAATATATGAACGTAACTCTAACCTGTTGAATGTATGTCTCTTGCGAGTAAGAGTTATATTCATTTGGATTTTCCTCGGAGCTCATCAGGTACACATCGGGAGTTTGATCACCCTAAAAATTCCATTATAATTAAAGATTGTTGCTTTCTCATATTAAATTACAACATACAATGCAAGAAAAATTAAAATTTTTTTGTCAAATTATTATAGATGAGTGATATTATAATTACGCGTTATTTCTAAATCCAATAGAGGCAATATACTTACAAGAAAAAGAAAAAAATAAGAAATATGTCACATTACTACATACCATCATTACAGTTTGATGAATTTTATTAATTTCCACCAACTGTACACTCACAAGATTTTCCCATCTAGTAAGACACTCGGGTGATACATTGTTCTTTAAGAAGCTGGTCAGTATATTATTTTTTTCGCATTGAGTGACGATATTGTTCGCAATATTTATTAAATGTCCCATGTAGCCTTGACGAACACCATTTTCCTTGTTTCTGCAATCAAATCTCGATGTTATAATCCTGAATTCTCTATTACAATATATGCGAAATATTCCGCTAAATTTAATACTTTTGGTAATCTTACTGTTTACTCTCGTTTTTATCCCATGCTTCTAAGATTCTCTCTATTAATTTGCACTTGATAAATATCTGGAAATTAAGACGTTCAAATTATTTGATGTGTGTTTCTTTGTGTCATAATTTATTTTCATATTATAAGAGGTATAACTCACATTATTATAAATAATATCATTATCCCGTTGTCCGCAATTAATAGCTAAGGCCAGGCACTGTTGTACTTGCGTATGTAAGAAATTATTCCAGGTATATTTGAAAAACAGATCCTATAATATATTTGGGTTAAAAATAAGTAAACAAAAGTGACAAAATAATAAAAACTCTCAATGAAATTCATACTCGTATAATATGATCTTACCAACAATGTTTGGAATGTTCCCAAAGTTTCTAAACTTTCATGGATCTTTAAATTCTCCGTCGCCAGTAAAGCACTTAACAACTTTGCTACATGCAAACGAGTATTTCCTAATGGACATTCTAATAGTCCAACGGTTGTTTTGACGGCAGGTTTCTGAGCAATAACAATTTTATCGTTTTTAAAATAATACCGAATAAAATATTGTTGTACAAAGTGCCCCGAATTTAAATGGCTAAATGTCCCTCTTCGGGAGTGTAGAGGATCGATAAACTAAGAAAAAAAGTCCTGTAGAGATATGCTCGTTTTTGTTTCGTTTTGGAGAAAATCGCAAAAAAAGACAAAATATAGTTTTCATTTTTGTTTTCATTTAAATTTGGGACACCCTGTATATATATATATATATATACACAGGGTGTCCCATTTTAATGTCCCACCCCAAATAACTTTTTTATTTTTGATCTTAGAAAAAAATGTTTCAGACAAAAGTTGTATGGCTTTGAGGGGGACATAAGGTGGTGTCATTAGTTTGATCTTGAATAGTTGCTTGAAGGTCACCTTCAATTTCTTAAATGGAAACCCCTATTTTTCATTGGATATTCTTGTAGCTTACCTCGAGAGCTTTCCAAAACACTATAATAAAATATTTTTTCATCAAGTACTTTTTTAGTTATGACGCTCGAAAGTTACAGTATCTCCGACATTTAGCATTATCCAAGATGTCAGACCGACAGCTAAAATCTCTTAAATATTGTTTAGGACCATGACTAGATAACATTTGTCAAGATCAAAGCCATTGGAAGTTGTACATCTTATTTTCATTTTTACGTTAAAATGAATTTTTAGTGTAAAAATGAAAATAAGTGGAACCTCTCTTGAGGTAAGCTACAAGAATATCCAACGAAAAAGAGCGATTTCCATTTAAGAAATTGAAGGTGACCTTTATGTTACCTTTCAACTATTCAAGATTAAACTAATGACACTACCTTATGTCTCCCTCAAAGCCATACAATTTTTGTTTAAAACATTTTTTTCTAAGATTAAAAATGAAAAAATTATTTGGGGTGGACCGTTAAAATGGGACACCCTGTATATAGACTTTTTTAAAAATGTAAGTCGCTCTTACATATGGCGGCTCTAGAAGAAGTTTGTGAAGATGTTCCAAATATGGTAAGGTAGCATTCGAAATTTTAATACACTGCTCATTATCCGTAGTGTCTTCGCTATTACCATGTACATCTCCTTCATTTGATGTGCTACAAAGAATTCAGACTATTGTATATTATGTTTTATTTATAAAATGTAATTTTGTAATATTGCAAAATATATAAAAATGTCGTACTTGTTGGCCCTTTGACCTAAAAGTACCAAAAGTACTTGTATTCCACCGACAATACTACTTTCTACTTTTTCTGCTGTTAGGATAGTTTCTAACAATAGGCTCACAGTTTCTCCTCTGTGTAACAAAATACATATTATTTGCAAATATTCGTGTAAAAAATAAATTATCATAAATTTGCAGGAATAAACTTACGATTCTAAAGTATTTAAAATAGGATCTGGATCAGCACGTTCTGTGGATATACGTTGAGTATCTCTAGCTACTGTCACCATATCGCAAAGTAATTGTGCCGCGTTAGCGTGTTTGGCTACTTCTGAAGTAGGTGCTAACAATTTTACCAGTCTTTGCACTAAATGTTGACTATCTAGCCACTATCAAAAAGACGCATACACATATATGTTGAAAAAAATTTAATTATGCAATATAGTAACCAGAATTTAATTATATAATGATAGCCACATAAATAAAAATCATCTTACATTTAGTATGTTTTGACGCATATCACTGCCCTCAACCTGAGTAACAAGTTTGAGTACTAAGTCCATGATAGCCGAAGTCTCTAAATGTTGCAACAACAAATCTACACATCTCTGACGACTTTTAAGGAATTCTAAAACCTGTAAGCACGTGAACTGATAGGAATACCAATTCTGGAATAGATGGAAATGTATAGGATGGATAGGCATGTGGATAATATAGGAAAGATAAGAAAAAGTTTATTATTTAACTAATATTACTTGTTATATCGAATAAAATGTCAATCTCAAAGTTATTACATTAAGTACAACTGACTGATCTTAAAATATATACTGCCTAAGAGTTTTCTATGTAAAAATAAGAAATGTTTAAGAAATAATTACCTGGTCACTTTTACGAGCAACAAGAACTCCAATAGTTTTACTGAAAAATGATGCAAGTAGTGGATTTAATGGTTGATCTGTATCTATGAAAGAATATAATTTGGCCAAAAGTGCCTCGTCACCTGAAAAAAGGTTCAAGAAATATATTTACAAAATTTATATAACTTTACAAATATTCTTTTAATCAATAGATATATAACAGAGCTCCGAGTATACCTGCCAGTTTCTCATTCAATGTAGGCACATCGCATGTAAGCAACTCGCAGGCAACATTAGGATACTTGTAGCGCCAACGTTCTTCGATGTCCGTGGATGGTTCCTTAGTAGTTAACGTAACTAATTCTTCCATGACAGCAGGCCTTGTGAGACTATCAATTACACATTGAAATAATTTATTTTTTTTTTTAAGATACTATATAGAATAAAAGTTCAATACAAAATCAGATCTGAAAAATATTTCCACTCACTATTCGACCAGCTTTTTGTTTTGGCTCTTGCATTCCTGAAGGATGTCCTCCTCGTCCATCAATTCGTGAAGTGTGACATCCTGTAATCGAGTAACCGATTAGATACTGTCTAACAACGAGGTACCGAAGGGAGGGAGGAAAAAGAAAGGCTCCCTCGTGGGGGAAGTATAACGAGGGGAGTCATTTACCTCTTTGTTGAGCAATGCCTCGATATGCGGCGATGACACGTAATTATTCGTCCAGAACATGATGCTGACCGTGTGTGCGCTACCTCCGCGGCTTGATATCTAAATGTATCGTGATTTATCGTAGCCCGGGACGATCGTCCGACTCACATCGGCTTGGCGTGGGGACGCACGCACGGGAAAAGGAAAATGGTGCAACACGTCGCGCGAATTCGTTCGGTCGACGAACGACTAACATCGCATGCACGCGTATATCGGGCTCCTGTCGATTCTCTTTAGCACCGTCTGGTCTAAAAACCGCTGTCGTCACGCACACTGGCACACTACTTCCTCGCGACCAGCTCGGTACGCGATTACGCCACTGTTCCAGCGGCTCTCGCAGCCACCCCCGTTGTCGTTCCTGACAGTTGCGACGTAGACGACGCGAACGCGGATTCCTGCCGCGAGATGATGCGAGATGATGCACGACGATATCGGAACCAACGAGAGAACGAAGTGCGGTCAAGTACGGTTGGATGTAGTTGAACGTGATCACCACCGGACGCTCTTCAGCGCGAACAGGCGCTCGAGCGTGGAATACGACGTACGAGAAGCGCGGAGACTCCTTCCTTCTTTCATCCAGCTCGTCCTTTCTTCTCCAAAAGTCCGAAACCGTTAACTGCACTCTGCTGCACTTTCGGCATTTAAAATGGAACGTCGGAGAGAAAAATATACGTGCGAAAGAGGGACGTAAAACGAACTATCTGAACGGTTTAAATTGTACCTTTTTTCACATTTTCTGTATTCCAGGATGAAGAAGACATCCGCATATTTCATATTTTTATATTGAAACGAAAAAAAAAAATGCAGCGCATTGAAAGTGTAATTGTAACAGTTGAATGGCCGTTTTATCGACTGAGACAGTAAAAATGAAATATTTGCGGAAATATAATTAAATATGATCGATGCAAGATGACGTCACGGTAGAAGACAAATACTTTCATTCCGCTAACTACCTCGGTAATTTCACGCGCTATGCTTAACCTAATCTAATGCCAGCTGATGCCACGATATCAGCTTATGTTTGATAATTTGTTGAGATTCCAAAGTGTTTGACACTTTGACCGGAATATTTTCTTTCGAGCTACGTGGACACGCATCAATTTTAAAAAATGGCAAGTGGCAATTGTTATCCTTTACGTGAATAATCGAAAATTCTTTCCTTGACTCTCATAGAATTAGTGTAAGTTAATTTAAGTCACATCTAACCTTAATTGTATTCGCCTCAAGAAATATGACAAAATACGAGTAAAAAGACACAGAAAAGATATAAATTTAAACCAAGTATAGATATAAATGAAGTATCTGTGTGTTAATCAGCTGTTCTGTTTTTTATTTAATTTTCTTGTCGACCGTTTTAGGTTGAAATCGAGTCGATGACGAGATACGTCTCGCCGGTGAACCCTGCTGTCTTTCCTCTTCTGGCTGTGGTTCTATTAGGAATTGGAGTATTTTTCACGGCCTGGTTCTTCGTATACGAAGTTACCAGCACAAAGTTTACGCGAGATATATGCAAGGAAGCAATAATTTCCTTGGTCGCAGCGCTATTCTCTAGCTTTGGAGTATTATTTTTGCTGCTCTGGGTTGGAATTTATGTATAGATAACTAGAAATTATGTATCGATAAGGAGTTAATCGTTCTACTGAGCAAATATCATGTATTTGTTAAAAAAAAATATATATATATATGTGTGTGAAACATGGATTAGTTTTTTAATTTGTTATTCTAATATAGATGATACATAATGGTGTAACTAAGCTTAGAAAGATTTTTTGTAATTATCTTTGCTGTATACAAACACAATTCCGAATATTTTATATTGTGCATAAGTTTATTCAATTTTTATCACAATAAAGGCATGAAGTTTGTAATACAGGTACACAACGAGTTTTGTGGCACCTCGAGAAAATAAAGACTCGCACTCGTTTTCTATAAACATAGACTACAGCATTATTAATCTCATGCAATATTATATATAGTAATAACATATATAGCTCTGTGCAAAAGAATTACATCATCTACTTTCATATTTGAACGTGCTATAATTACTGTATCTCCATTAACATATACATTCTATTAAATGTTTTTCTTGTAAAACACAAGTTTTCTTTTCATTACATCATACAGAGAAGAATATGGCGCTTATTGTCGATAAAATAATCCTCTGTGCTTTTCGACATCGACATAAATTATATATTCGATTTTCATTGTAAAGGATAATGACCTATTTTATTTAGAACAAAATGGAATATTGCAGCTCTAAGACGAAGCCTGTGAGGAATATTTTTTAACCCGCCAAACCGGCTTTCTGTCGACATCTCTGCATTAGTGCTCTCAACATAAATTGTCTACGCGATAATTGCCGAACTTGCTTCAGGAACGCGTCTAAATCTAATATGCCGGATCGCAGTCCTTCAGCGAGATAGTAAATAGCATCTTCCGTGGCTGCTTCTTCGGCAAAAGCATTTAACATCCTGGAAATTAAATGACGTTAATCAAACTTATTCATTAGAATATAAATTCATACTGAATAAAGTTATTTAACAGTAAAATTGTTATTTATATGCTTACTGTTTATACAAAGGCGCTATAGTAGTAACAGCTTCATCGACATCTATCGATTGATTATCAGATAATTTGGCGATCTCTTTTTCTAATTCTGCTTCCTTATCTTGTAAAATATTAACATTTTTTTCGAGCTCCTGTTTCTCTTTTTTGAGTTTATCAAAAAGATCTGCCAAGTGCGACGAACCGCTCGTTAGCTCTTGCTGGGTTCGTCGCAGCGTCTCGAGCTCCGCCTGTAACTGTGAGAACTGTTCCTTGAGTCGACGTCGAAGCTTATCTTCTACCGCAGACAGCAAGGATGCTCTTATGTGCTCCTCTGTGATCGTGCCAGATCCACTGGAATTTGGTTGTATCGTCGGCGACTTGCGAATAATTACAAATACTTATTTAATGTGATATATCTTTCAATAACTGTTTAATAATAATTTGTACATATTGATTAAGACTAAAATGTGAATATTAATTATAAATGTCACTTGGGCTAAAAATAAATAACAATGATTGTATACCGGTTGTGTGACTGGCGGATATGGTTGATATGAACCACTGTAACCTTGTGTTGGATAACTGGGCGTGGTTCCTGCATAAGAACCATAAGAGCTTGGATACGGGAATCCCCCGGACGCTGTTGGAGGATATGGTGGATACACATTACTACCACTGGAGTATTGAGAACTTGGTGGATACGGAGGAAAGCCAGAACTTGATACATTTCCACCTCCAGGTACAGGCATGAATGCTGTATGACAAGTTTGTACGAGGTTAAAATGAGACAGTAAATAGAAAATTTTTTAAAAGCTTATTTTGGAATTCTGCAAGTACACTTACACTGAACAGGATATGGTGTTGAACTCTGTTGTGTTTCTGATCTTATTTTGGCATAAACTGGAGGCTGTTCCCCAAAGGTAACAATCATTACTTGAATTAAAGCAAGCAAATCCGAATTATGCTGCAACATAAAAGAATAAATAAATAAGTATTGGAGAATTGTTCATTTTTAGTGATTAATAGTGAGTCTACTCACAGGCACCCAGTCATGAAGATATGGCAAATAGATTTTACCATTATGATCCACAAACATACTGACTTTAATATGCATATCTGCTGTTGGCTTAACATAGCACATAGGTGCATTATTGGGATGAGTATCCATCAACCATATACAGATTGGAATATTGTAACAAGAGCCTAGAAAAGGAACAAGAAACAAATTTTTAATTTTTTTTTATTTACAGTTTTTCAGCACATTAACATCTTCCTAATATGATGCCTGATTGAGCATCAAATTATTAAAAATCATTGTATGAAATTATATAAGATTGTAGAATTGGAAAAGCGAGATGAGATCACCTTTATGGTACTTATGTTTGGACCGCACAAAGCGAATACTAAATTAACTGACGTTTTTACTGGACTTTATTATGTGACCGAATATTCCAATAATTTATGTATTATTGCTTGTTGTTTACATTGAAGATGACTCGATCGGTGTCGAAACGTTTGTATGTATGAAAGTTTATTAAATATTCTTTATGTTGTAACTGGCTCGTAGCCCTTCTTTTAATTATTGATTTATTCTGATTAAGCCATATTGTTATTAATTAAATTATTAAAAATTGCTTGTCAATTTAATTTAATTTGTGATATTATTACAGTAGTTTAATTGCGTTTATAAGTCCGGAAAACTAATTTTTGGCACGCAATTTGAATGACTACAAATATGGTATATATGCATGTACATATATGGTATGAATATAATTCACAATGAATTATTTAAGTATTAAACATCCAGCTTCGCGACTGTTACAGGCTTTAAATCTTACTTGTTATGTATTTAATAGTTTTATCGTTTATTATTAACATTTATATTTAAATTTATTACCTTCAAAAAAGATTACCTTTGTAAACAACTGGTATAGTTCCTTGTAAGTTGAGTAGTTCTTTACGCGAGCCATCATTGAAAACTAGTATTGAATGACAAATAAGTTTAATGAACTTAGGAATATCAAGAAGCATATTTAAGATCATTATTATCGCAAATAATTTTACTTACCAAAAGGTTCAATTTTATACACCAAGCCTTTGTAAGTATTCAAGACATTTATTACATGCTTCTTCGTTATATCTGGATTTTGATACTGAAAAATAACATTCTCTTTTTACATTATGAGATCGATGTGATAACATCATTATAACATCGTTAATGTAACGATAAAATTATTTATACCTTAGATATGCCTTGTCTAATCCTCCCCTCATCAAACGGCGTCATTTTCACCATTTAGCGTAGCTAAATCGAGATAGCGACAGTTCCTGCTATCTCCCTATCAGACGTGTCTCAATCCCGTATCAAAATAATTTTTTAGACGTTGCAGTAATGTAATAATAGAAGTCAATTATCGTCGAGCACGCTTGTGTTTGTTATTATCGACCGTCTCGACAGAATCTTGATACGATGAGATCATCAAAGGGATTGTTGCAAGGAACTTATTAATCTGTCACGCACGAATGCACACAAAATCATGTCATCGCGAACCATTATGAACTATCATCAGCTATCGTGAATAATTTGGCATCACTGTCGTGGCTGTTGTTCGATCATGAACTACGCAAATTATCGAAAGACCTTGGGGTGTACTCCGATATACACTGTCAGTACTGGCAGTACTGAAAAATTGTTCTGGGGATCGATTCTGTATCTTGAAACGAAGTGAAAATTATAATGCGGGATCTACAATAGAAGTCGTGGCTACGGTCCACTTGACGCTAAAAA